TCAAACTTTATGATGTTTGAAAATGAAAAAGTAAAAAATTATCATAAATTGTTGGTATGTTTTTTAAAGTAAAAAATATTGAAAATTGTTACTATATTTTTTAATTTGGAAATTTTGAATATGTCAAAAATTTTAATTGATAAAAAAGTGATTTTTTTTTATATTTGAAATTGTAGAAAATTTCCAAAGATTATTGAAATGAAAAGTGCATTATGATAACAAAAATAATAATAAAACATAAATAACTTTAAAAGTTACTGTTTGCTTATTTTCAAAAACATTTTTTTAATTTAAATTAATATCTAAAATTTGAATAATAATTTTGTTATGGAAAAGTTCTTGAACTGAAATAATATTGAATTAAAGTAACGAATAACTAAAACATCAAATGTACATTGTAATGAATGAGAATAATTAAAAATTGTGGCACAATACCTAATTTATCCTTCACCATTTTCTTTTTTTTAACTTCAAACATATCAATTTACTATTATCATTGGATAAATTAGCACTGTTAGCATTTCATATTACCATTATTATTTTATCACTGTTGTCAATATCACTATTATTATTATCATTAACTATCATTATTGCTATCATTATTATCAGTAAATCAATAATTCCCAAATAAAAAAATGATAAGATTTTCCGAAATAGCCGAGACGTTTTGCGTTTTATTTTATCTTGCAATGCTCCTTTAATTATTATTGGGAAAAGTCTTTTTTTTTAATTATCATAATATAGCAATTTCTATTTGCATTACTTTTTTTTTCGATTACCGCATTTTTAAATATCCTGTCACGATCTTTTAGTTTTCGTTCATTTTATATTTTAATTTCTTTACAAAATTCTCCTTTACAAAAAAAAAAATCTGCTTTAATATATTAATTAATGGATTAAAAGTAGACAAAAAAAGCTTAAACTTTTTTGAATCACATTTCAGCTCAATAATCTGATCAGGCGATGATCTTTTTTCACTTTTTTTTAAGCTGCAAAATTTTCTACTTATACCAAGAAAACTTTTCAACAAATTTATATAAAATTTTCGCCTAATTTATTTTGGATTCTTGAGAAATTATAAAGATCGAAAGAAAAAAAAAGTCTTTAACTTCCATTTTCAAATTTTTCTCATTTGTCTGCCTCTTCATCAGAAATAAATTCATTCTCATGCTTTAGGCAGGTTTCGAAATTCCAAATTTAATTTACTAGAAGAGTGCAAGCCCCTCAGTGGAATTGCCATTTCGATTTGCCTTTCGTAGCTATCGATTTTTTACTGATAGCATTTGATGCTAACATTTCCCGACAAATGTTGTAATGAATTCAATTCGTTACAGTGTTGAAAATATTGAATTCATTGAATTTTTTTCCGTTAACGTGGAAGGAATTATGTGAAATTTAATACTTTTCTCGTCTTATCCTCTAATTTCCATCACTTCCATTTAAATTTCACTCATTACCTTATGATATTAACACTTGGAAGCAAATGAACATTATATTTCATTTTCCAATGAATTAAATAAGATGGAAAAATCTGCTCATTTATTGATAACAATTTATTCATATAGAATTGAAAATTGTGCTGTGAAAAAAATCGGAATAAAAATAATTATTTGACATTAATTTTTTAATCCTAATTTTTAGCCATATTTGTGAAAATGTTAATTTAAAAAATATTTACAAATATGAATTTATAGTTTCACGCTAAAAATAATCTTTTTTTCTAGACTGTTGGACGATGCCAACACGTGACGTATTCTGTCGAGAAAGTTTGGAGGAGCAAATTCGGAAACACGCAGCTACGATGACCACTGCAATTGATTTATTCCATATTGAAGGTTGTGAGAAT